GGGGGCCCAGGCCAGGCTGGGGGCCCCCCCCCCCCCTCGAGTGCACAAATTTTTGTGCACCGGGCCTCTAGTGTTACATAAACTGCAACCCCACCTTCTCATCCTTTCCCTCCTCTTTCCCAGGCATAAGCACTCTCCTGTAGGGGAAGGGGAAGGGTCTATCTGGTACTTCTTCTGCTTGTATTCATAACTGATATGTTGTCTAGTTTTATATTTTAAAATGTACAGAAATGGGTCATGTTTTTGGAAACAGGCTTTTCTTTTAAAGAAAGAACTCAACTCTTTTATGGTCTGCTTTTTGCTAGTTTTGCTTTGTCATGTCTCCCACGTCTCCCCTCCAGGCCCCAACTACCTCTCCTAACAGGTGTCTCTCTAGCTGCCTGCTCTAACAGTTTCTCTGCGGATCTATTAATACAGAACATGGAGCTGCTGGCTCTAGGGCAAGGGCATCTTTAATGATCATGGAAATTGCCAGGTTACTCATCTCAGTGGTTATGCTAATCCACATATCTGTCCATGAAAATAAAATTCGTTTCCTAGCTTCTCACCACCCTTGGTGATATACCACATCCCTCGGTGCTATAAATTCCTGTGTTACCCACAGTGAACTCACTGAATAAAAATAAGAAGAAGACAGCATGCTATTGTATTGACAGCAACTAACTCTTCATGATTCATTTTTACTATGGCATTTTGCAGGCTTTGGGGCAAGCATGTATTAGGTTGACACATCTCTCCTTAAAAAGCCCCTTGGAATTCACTCTCTTGTAGGAGATTTGAGCCCATCTTTTTCAGTAACTGAGAGAACAAAGTGGTCAGTGAGGATATAGGACATGAACCATGTCCTGGAAGCTTGATGAACAGACCTGCATATTATATTGTAATAAAGTTTTCCAAGCACACATGCCTAAGTGGGCTGTGTGTCTCCTGTCTGCCCATCATCTCACAGCTCCCACCTCCACGTCCACCTGCCCTCCCTCACCTGTGCTCCTTCATGGTCCACTCTACATGAAAGGGCTCTGAGTCCCTCTCCCCAACAGCAGGGATGGGGAGGGGCGGATGAGTTCCCCACAGACAGCCTAGCAGTCGTGTTCTGAGGGGTGGGGGTCAGGGAGGACCTCACACTCCCACCTCCTGGGTCCTGATCTGGAGTTGATGGCCAGGACACTGCCTGCTCCTTCAGGTCCTGAGAGAACCTGTGTCATGGAAATTACACATCTCTCCTAATTCTTCCAGGTAGGACACTTCTTGAAATATCCCAGGGGACCCATCTCCTGCTGTGCAAGGCCCAGTCTGGAAAGTTCCACAGCAACTTAGGCCATTCCACCTGAACAGATCCTGTGACAGGACCTTTAGGGTTATAGGCTCATGACCATTTTTCTTAGGGCTACACCTGGGGCAGGGGCAACTGGGCCCTGAGATTCCAGCTTACACGGTCCACCCCTCTCCCCAGTGATGGGCCCTGGGGTCTTGGGACAGCATGGAGGTAACATCTGGGTTCCATCTTGACTGAAAGAAGTCCATCTCCGAGGCCTGACGTGACTCCTTGCTTTCAGTAAAATTACTTAGTTGAAGTTAACCTAACCGCATCCTTAAAGGAAAGAATATAGGATGATAACATCCTGTCTTGACATCCTGTTCTGCAAAATAGTTTTTTTGTTGATTAAATGTAGCTAGAATGTTTGCACAAGCATTATTCTACAGGCCTTTTGGGTGGTCCATTGACCATGGGAAAACCCTGGACTACGCCTGGGAATGGTTATTGTTGGACATTAACCCTTTATTACATATCAAATCGCATGGGACAGCTGACCTCATCCTCATGCCCAAGCCCTGCACCCACCCCAAGGCCCCCATATAAACCACCAACAGGAACCCCTCGGGGAGCTCCGCTTCTCTTTTCTGGCTGATTCCCTTGTGCACAAGCTTGCCCCCCCCCCCCCCCCCCCCAATAAACTATCTGCTTGAGATTGTACTGGGTTCAGTGCTCAGTTCTGATACTGAGACTCAAAGACCAGGCATTCAAGGTCCTGTAACACCCTGACCCCCATTCATTTCCAAAATATCACAGCCCTCCCCATCCCATCTTGTGAGTGATGTCTCATCTCCCCGGGGCATGGGCAGTAGCCTGTGTCCTTTCTCTTCTCACAGAGCCCTGACCTGGCAGAAATCCCAGGTGGAGTTACTACCGTGGGAAAAGGGAGCCCACCCTGACCTCAAAGGAATCAGGGGGTGACTCCCATCCCCAAGGTCCCTGGTCTATGGCACACTTTCCTGTGGTTCCTGAAGACATCTCACCAGCCCATGGTGTCCTGGGGAACAAGGGGGACTTCCCGTGCAGGATGGGACAGGAGAACCCAGGACCTGGGGGTTCTTCCATCTCAGAGGGGCTGAGGGTTCCATGGGGGCCTCTTCTCCCCTAACAGAGGGACCCACAGGATCCCTGGTTGACACTTAAGTGGAGCTGCCCCAGATCCTGGGCCCTATGGGGAGGCCTAGAGCAGATGACAGACAGGGACACAGATGACTTGGTTGCAGTGCCCCAGTGCTGTGATGGGGACACGCAGGGCATTCTCGGGATCAGTCCTTCAGGCTGGCACACTCTCCTGTAAGCCTCAAGAGACCCCTACCAGGCCTTTCCTTGGAAATCTCGGGGACAAGGAGCTCCTCCTAAAACAGCATATTCCCCTGGGGGACAGTTCTCATGACATTGGATCCGGACTCCTCTGGACAACGCCTGTCCTCTCCCTGCGCTCTCCCTGCCCTGGGATGAAGTCAGGCAGCCTGAGACCCATCGTGACTGGCCACTCAGCCTGGAGGTCAGAGCATCTGGAGCCTGGTCAGCATCCCTGGTGCTGTCCCTGACATTGGCTGCAGGTCTCCTTCATGACCTCCAGGTGGCAACATGGAGACACACACAGACAGCACACCGGAAATGCACACATGAACCTGGCTTTGGCTAAGGAGGTGCAGAAGGAGCCTGATTTCCATCCCCTGCTCCAACAGGCCCCTCTGGGCTCCTCCCTAGTATCCAGCTCCTTCTAGGGGCCTTGGAGCACCTGCTCTCTCAGGGGTCTCAGTGCTGCTCCCCCACCCCATGCCTGGCACCACCCATGGGGAAGTCAGGGTGATCACAGGAAAGTCCCCAGGCAGAGGGGGGACAGAGGCTGCTCTGACCATCAGGGAGCACGTGGACAGGCTCTGAGCCACAGCTCAGCCAACAGGCACAGAGAGGGAAGGTCTCCTTGAACCCTTGAACCTGAGGACCAGGGAGCCCACAGCCATCTGACCACCAAGCACAGTCCTCACTTGAGAGGACACACAGGACACCTACACCTTCACCCCGGGAACTTCAGGTCCTTCTGAGACACCTGGTCCTGGTCTCTGCGTGGGAAGCAAGGGCCAGGAGGGTGACAGCTGGAGACAGAGAGGGGGTCCCCTCCCCGTCATCATTCAGCTGACCCTTTTATCACCCCAGAGTCATCTCTGTGGCCTTCCAGCTGGGAGGAAATCCAACCTTCCCCGCACATTTGAGAACACAGGAAAGACCCAGATGGGTTTCTGTGTCAAAAATGGAGTAATCCCCAGGTTTGGGGACGCCTGGAGCTGTCTGTGTTGGTGACAGACCCAAGGCCTCTCCACAGCAGAGGCCAAGGCTGTGTGCAGAGTCTCAGGTCCACCACACACCTGCCCAGTCGGAATCTGCATTTGAACAGGATCTGGAGACCCTCTCTGTGCACAGGAGATGGGGAGCGGCTGCCCCACCCACACAGCATGGGTCTCAGCCTGGCGGGCATCCACCTTAGCTGGGCAGCTGTTGAAGCAGCGTTTCTATGGTGCCACCTGGGCATTGCAACATTTACCAAGTTCCACAGGTGATTCTCACGCATGACAGGAGATGACATTCCTGTGACAAGAGTTCCTGATGCGGCCCCAGGCTCCTATTCTTAAGGGAAAAGTTCCAAGTGATGAAAGGGGGCTCTGGTGGATGTCTGAGACCCCGACACCCCAACATCCCAGGCTTGTGTTTGTCCTAACAGGACGTGTGTGTGTGTGTGTGTGTGTGTGTGTGTGTGTGCGCGTGCGTGCGTGGTGGATAATCACAGCTAAAGAAACTGAAGCCTCAGCAGTTCCCAGGAAACAGAAATGTAGACGGAAGGAAAAGGGGAGGAGGGGACAGGGGACTCAAGAATGAGGGGGAAGGGAGAAGGAGAGTCCTAGGGATAGACGCCGCCCCCTCCCACGTGACCGGGAAGCATTCCTGCCCTGGGAGGAGGTTCAATGCCCTGGAAGAAAGGACAGCAGATCCCACGCAACCAGAACAAAGGTGCCTGGGAGTGTTCCTGGGCTCAAGCTCTTCTCACAGAGGGAGGGACGGAACAGACAGCAGACACCATGGAGTCCCGCTCAGCCCCTGTGCACAGAGGGTGCGTCCCCCGGCAGGGGCTCCTGCTGGCTGGTAAGGAGGGAACAATCCCTGGGGGTGGACAGGAGGAGGGGAGACAGAGACTGGCTGGGGTCTCCTGGGGAGCACAGCGCTCTGAGAGCGGACAGAGGGCTTCTGTTTGGACCTGAGGGAGAGGACAGGGGAGCGGAGTAGGTTGGGGGAGGGGACTCAGCAGCAGGACAAGACCATGATCTGGAAGTGGTGAAGCGCAGGGACACCTTGACTGCTGTGTGTTTTTAAAGTTAATAATTTCTGAACAATAAGTTTTAGAAACTGATGACAATAATCACAATTTATGTCAGGGGGCAAAAAACTTAACCAGGGCTGCTAAATTGTGTCCTCACCACCAAGCTCAGAAATGGGCAGATACATCCCCGGAGGTGCAGGACCCTGCAGCACTCACTCATTCACCCACAGGTACTTACAGCCTGTTGCAGGCGCTGGGGTGCAACAAGATCAGACAAGCCCCTGCCCCCATGAAGCTCATGTTCTATGAGGAGGAGACAGACAAGGAAAGATCTAGATGTGATGTCAGGTCCCCACAATGCCATGCAGGGAACAGCCCAAGGACTGGTCAGAAAGTGAAGACAGAGGTCTTTAGAGGAGGTGGTCAGGGAAGGGGTCTCCCAAAGACACTTCTGAGTGTCAGCAGGGGTCTGAGGGCAGACACCTGGGTAAGAGTATTCAAAACAGAGGAAATACAGTGGTGCCTTGACTTACGAGTTTGATTCGTTCCAAGACAGAGCTCGTTAAGGAGCTCGTTAAGGAGCTCGTTAACTCAAATTACTCTGTCAACTCAATGCAAAAAATCTGTGGAGAGACAGCTGATATCTCAAAAAACTCGTTAGTCGGGACACTCGTAAGTCAAGGCCCCACTGTAACAGGATCAGAGGTGCTGAAGTATTGGTGGCCATGCTGCTGAACTTGACTACAGGAGACACACACATACTCAGACCAAGGCTGAGAGGTGAAGAGACCTGCTCAGGACCCAAAGCCTCATCTCTCCTTCCCAATACATAGCTCCAAATATTGATCAATTTCCCTCTTCCCTCCTAGCCTCACTCTTAACCTTCTGGAGCCTGCCCACCACTGCCCAGCTCAGTATTGAATCAGTGCCACCCAATGCTGCCGAAGGGAAGGATGTGCTTCTCCGAGTCCACAACCTGCCAGGGTTTCTTGGAGGTTATGTCTGGTTCAAAGGGGAAAGTGTGGACAGCAACCATCAAATTGCATCATATATAATAGATACTCAAAAAATACACCCAGGACTTGCATACAGCAGTCGAGAGACAATATACCCCAATGGGTCCCTGCTGTTCCGGAACGTCACCCTGCAGGATACAGGGTACTACACTCTACTAGCCATAAGGAAAACTTTTCAAGGTGAAATAGTAACCGGACAGCTCCGTGTATACCGTGAGTGATTGCTCTTTGACCTCTGGGTGTTGGGTGGGGTGAACTCTACTTCACACACAGGACTGACGGCCCTGGACTCTGCCTCCATCTCCTACTGCATCATCTCCCAGGATGGGTTTGGGCATTTAGTGCAGGACACACAGTGGAGACAAACTTTCTAAGATCAGAGTTCCCTTCCTGGATTCCAGCCCTGCAGACATTCTCCACAGAGAGAAGGGCCAATCTGATGGGAGTGACTCAGCAGAGGGAGGCCAGTCTCATCCAGCCCCTGGGCCCCTCCCCATGACCATGACCCTGAGACAGGCTCTACAGCAGTGGTTCTCAACCTTCCTAATGCCGCGACCCTTTAATACAGTTCCTCATGTTGTGGTGAACCCCAATTTCATTGTTACAAATTGAACATAATTAAAGCATAGTGATTAATCACGAAAACAATATGTAATTATATGTGTGTTTTCCAATGGTCTTAGGCGACCCCTGTGAAAGGGTCGTTCGACCCCCAGGTTGAGAACCACTGCTCTACAGGGATCAGTCAGGGCATGGACTGAGGGGCCCCTAGGATCCTCACACAGAAGTTCAGCTCAGTCAGCCCTTCCCCAGACCTTTGATCCCTGGCTTCTGACTCCAGGGACCTTGGGAAGCCTGTGTCATGTTGGGTTTGGTCTGTGGGCAGGGCTGACCGGGAGCAATTACTTCCCAGGTGCCCAAGTCACAAGGCTCCTGAGCTGGTCACCAGCCAGAGCTCATCCCCAAGAGCCACATCTGGGCAAGGACGGAGCCTGGCCCTTCACCTGAGACTGTGTGTGGAGAGCACAGATGGACAAGGTGGCCAGGTATTTGGCTAACTGCCCTGGGGAACGTAGAAGAGTCCAGGGAAAGGCCAGCATCCCCAGGGAGGAACAGAGGAGAGAAGATGCTCCGGGGGCTCCTCGTCCACCAGGAATCAGCCCAGGATTTAGGTCAGGTGCTGTGAATATTTTTGGGTTAATTCACTGACAACCTGGCAGCCAAATATTCATCCTCCTTCATTGAAAGGAAACCGAGGCACAGGGAAATACAGTCACTAAAGCGGAGTTCCACAGACCATGAGCAGCTGATCAGAGTCATCTGAGGTCTGTCTGCAGCCAGAGCCCTGTCCTCTCCTCCACCCCAGGGGCCTATTAGGTGTCTGTGGTTCCCTAGACCAGTGGTCAGCAAACTCATTAGTCAACAGAGCCAATCAACAGTACTACAACGATTGAAATTTCTTTTGAGAGCCAAATTTTTTAAACTTAAACTATATAGGTAGGTACATTGTTTTTAACTTAATTAGGGTACTCCTAAGGCTTAGGAAGAGCCACACTCAAAGGGCCAAAGAGCCGCATGTGGCTCGCGAGCCGCAGTTTGCCGACCTCGGCACTAGACCAACTATTTGTTCAGATCCTTCCTTCTTAGGCATCTTCAGTTCAGAGGGAGAGATTCTGGTCTGGGGAAGAAAAGGAAATGGAGAATTAATCTGTTTTTATGCTAAAACGAAATTACCTGCAGTAACAATCGGAGTCAGTGCTGGGGACACCCCGCCCTCCCCTCAGGTGACTGATCCACCCCTCCCTGCACTGGTCTTGAAATCACTTATTTGTTTCCTGTGTGTTGGTGTCACTCCCACTGGATATACTAGGTTTACCGGTTAATAATGGCGGATTTTGTAATCACAGAAAACACGATTTCTTTTTTTTAAATTGTTTTATTGCTTAAAGTATTACAAAGAGTATTACATATGTCTCCTTTTTTCCCCCACCCTTGACAATCCCCTAGCCTCCCCTACCCCCCAGTGTCTTATGTCCATTGGTTATGCTTATATGCATGCATACAAGTCCTTCGGTTGATCTCTTACCCCCTTCCCTCCTGCCCCCCAACCCTCCCCGGCCTTCCCGCTGCAGTTTGACAATTCACAGAAATTCTTTACAGGTTTGAATGTTTTTACGTTAACATTACAATAATGTAATATGTAAAATACTTAAGAAATACAAGGTCTCAGTGAAAACAATATACCTTGCAATTGGGCATAGTAGAATTTATCCTTTTAAAAGTTTTTATGTATTGATTTTAGAGGGAGAGAGGGAGAGAAAAATATTGATTTGTTGTCCAACTTATTTATGCATTCATTGGTTAATTAAAAAAACTTTTTTTAAATTGATTTCAGAGAGGGAGAGAGCAATAGAAACATTAATGACGAGAGAGAGAATCATTGATTGGCTGCTTCCTGCATGCC